AAACCATAAAACCACCACAGTCTGGCTGTTGTTATCCATAAGGTGTAGAGGCAATGTTTGTAGTCACAGTGGAAAGAAATTGGGAGTGTTTTGTTTGTGGATCATTAAACAGCTGAATTATGCAGCGCCAGTACATTCAGATTTGTAAGATATGAAGCACATATGTCAGATACTGTAAATTGTACATGTATGTAAAATCAAATTTAGCTGGTTTTTGTATAAAAATAAAAATCACTGAAACATTGCACAATGCGTACAGCCCTGTAATATACATGTAATCTGGATTTTGCATTCTCTGACTACAATTCATGACATTAACTTGCCGACTTTGTCACAAGAAACTGAAAATTAGGCACACTGCAAGAAAACAGTCGACTAAATCTGCCTTGATGCATGTTTGTGATTTTAACCTACATGTACTGGGTATAGATTGAAAAAGATACCGGTATATCAGAACCAACTTTCATTATTTTCCAGTTTAAACACTTGTGCTAGCCATCAATTGTCAGTAGAAATTAATATGTTTCAGGTCCAAAGCCTTCAGAGGTTTCCTGTACTTGGTTGGTTGGTTGACACTTTAAACAAGCCTGACATTTTCCAGTAGGTTGCAAACCCATCCATCAAAGTGTGGCCAGTTTAGATTCAGAAATTCTTTTCATTCCCAAACACTCTCGTTACGATGAAGACTCAAAATGTACACACACACCTACAAGTACTGTACATGTACATTTTAGTCCAGCAAATCAAAGCGTTTGTTGTGGTGTACTACCAAGGTTGAATCAAGACAGCCAAGCCAATATTAAAACATCGAGTTACATGTATCATGATAACACTGATGCTGTAGAGCATGTACATGTATGAATCAATTAGAATGGAAATTCATTCAGTACAAGTATGTCATCCAACATTCATGGTCAAATCTTCGTCTAAAGGTTTCTACATAAACATGTAGTTCATGAAATCTCAAGGGTATATGGACATGTGCATACGGGGGTACATGTACTATAGCAAGGTATGAGGTGACAACCTCTTCACACCAAATCCACTTCTTCTTGGGCACACCGGTACAACTTCCATAACTTCTGATTTCAGTTCTAATCAAATTTCTTTCAGTATCCCTCTTCAATTGCTGACATTTTCATTCCTACATTACAACCAATGTCATTACACTTTCTTCTATTTATTCAGTTGTTACTATAATTACACAGCCTATAGTCAATCATACAATCTTGTTTACACCAGCCATACTCTATATTGGCCTTTCAGCATTGCTCCATTCCTAAATCACAATTTCTTATATAAACCAATACTGACAATATGGAATTTATTTACGAGAATGTGATCAGCTCGCCACTTTAAATTGCCTCCAGTGAAAGGGCACTCATGTTAACCTTTGACCCCAGAAGGTCACAAGAAACAAATCTGGCGTAGTCAAGGGAGAACTCACCACACTTGACTTGAATTTATGTGCATTATACCAACATGATGTGTTTCCCAATAATTCAAACGGTAAAATGCATATTTTGAGGGAAGAAAATAGTAAAAGCACTTTGTACATATTCTTGGGAAAAAACAGATTCAAAACAAAATACATGTTTAAATTCCATTCATAAATTTAAATTAACATACATGTACATCATTAGCAGAAATTTCATGTAAACTTAAATTCTATTAATGCAGTTGGAGAAAGAACATTTTGTTCCTTATTACAGTGTAAATGAAATGATATAGAATATTCAAAACCCAACATTTCCTTTTAATTAAAGAAATCAGAGGTAGGCCTATTTGAAAGAATTTAGAAGAAATAGATTGTGAGAAATGTGTGCAATATCCAGATGCCTCCTGCCTCTTTTAGGTTTAAAAAAGGAATTTTGACCGATATAACTGAGAAACATTTCCAGTTTCATAAAAACTCAAACTCACTCCTTATGGTCTTTGTACACACACAAATTTGTGTCCTAAAGAGATCTGCATTCATTCCATCAGCAACATTTCAAACTAAAACTACAGGGAAAATTGTGAGATGATGAGCAAACACAAAGTTATTGGGCAGAAAATGCTATTACACATGTACATGTATGTAATTTCCAACTGCTAATAACGTCACAGCATATATACATGTAGAGTGGGATACCACATTCATTATTTGGTGCATATTATGTTATTATTTATTATCATTGATTTATTGAGAAATAACAATAAATGGACATGGCAGCCCTAAGGCTGAAACGGGTAACATTTACAAATTGTCTTTTGAAATTTACATCATTTATCACAGATGATACCGGTTCACTAATAAGATTTAAACTTCTAAAATGTATGTGCCGGTCTGTCAAACCGGCGAGTTCATTCCTGAAGTGATCAGTTCAGAAGGAAAGAAACTGAAATGTATCCTTCGAAGTCTAAAAAAAGGGAAATAAACACCAGCAATGAGTGCTTCTCGTCATACTGTACAAGGACACCTTTTTTCTTCCAATTTATCACCTTGATATATTTGGCAAGTGTGTACATGTAAATTTCCAAGAGGTACCAGCATTTTTTATTTCTTAAACAAAATACATGCTCCTGAATGCCTCCGTGGGAAAGTGATGGGAACGAGTTCCATATACATGTACAGACACTTCATGCCCATGTGCACAAACGTATTAGACTTGTCTGAAAACCTAAGTGTTTAATGAGTAAATGTTTCAGAATTTTCTTAAATTTTACTTTGTAGGACATGTTATCATTTTCTGACCGCTGTTATAACATTTTAAGGGCAAATAAGTGTTGTCCGTATCTTGTCTGTCCACTCTAACAGACACATTTGTGTGACATTCAATACAATTTTCCAACTGTAGAATTTTGCCATTATTTTTGCTTACAGAAAGGTAAAGATAAATTGAGCAGTATTTAAGAAATTATAGAAGTTCATTCTTAAAGATATAAGATTTGTCACATGGACAGACGCTTTGTTCCTTAAATGTGAAAATTACATGTAAATTCAAAACATAAATTAAAAATTACCTGCAGTGTGTTAAATACTCTTTTTAGTTTACTTTTAGAAACTTTCATAATCTCATAAAAACGATTCCAGTGTACATACCACTGACATTTATTTCAAGAAAAATATGTAATGTTAGTCACTGGACAGACATCACATTTGTCACATGGACAGATATACCTTATGTCACATGGACAGACATTTTTCTGGTGTTTGAATTAGAGCATGAAAACAGAATTGTTCACAAACCAAACTTGTTTGTTTTCAGTTTTCAAAATCATCAGATAAAATGAACACTACTGTATGTAAGTTTTTCTAAATGAGTAACATTTGTCACATGGACAGACATGACATTTGTCACATATCATAAACTGGAGAAAGACAGTCCTCTCACTTTCATTTCAGCACAATGAACCGACTTTTTATAATGAATTGTTCGTTATTGTATTTGATTTGGTTTTGTAATAAATGTATATGTACTTGTAAGGTAAGTCTATTTTTATGTTTAGAGGGGAAAATGGTTGCGACAAACGTTACAAAATAGTGACCAGACATTTGCAATTCCTAAAATCAAATCTTAGTTTTGTCATCTGATAGAAAAAGACAACCACAAATACATGTATGATGTAGGGCCTAAAATATTATTGTGAAAACTTTCTCAGGAAGATGTATGTTTTTGTTCAGGTTATCTGCTCAAGGAATGGCAAAATCAGCCTGTTTCATGTTTGTCCCTTTGTGGACAGACACCGTGACATACATTATTCCTTAATTAACTCTCCTTTAATTCCAGTTTAAGATAACTTAAAGAAATAAAAAGCCACAGATTTTGATACATTTTTCAAATGTTATACCTGTAGCACCCATGTTTTAACAGATGAATTGCTTTTCTCTTTAAGAGTGGTATTTTAAATTACCTAAAAAACATGAGCTGACACAGTTACGTGCATGTCCCACCAGAACCCTTAATATAAGCTGGACATTTTCATCAAGATCCTGATTTTAACAACGAACAACCAAATCCTATTAAACTGTGTATACTATATGTCCATAATTACACACGTATCAGTAAAATTGTTAAAGTTCATTTATTATTTTTCTGTTGTTTTATTCTGATAATGATCATGTACATGTAAAATGCTAATAGGTCATCTTTGTAATCCAATCTAAAATAAAATAATTACACTAACAAAATTTGTGTGAACTTTCTTTTATTTTGCCTCTGTAAATGTAAATCTGATACCAAACTAGCATGGACATAACGGTAACCTGAAAAGAATAAACCAACTGAGTACGTCCTAGTTACTAAATTAGTGAAATGTTTGTTTGTTTGGTTTATTATTAAAAACTCAATAGCAGCCAGAGGCTGAATTACTGAGAGTTTTACATTATTGAGTTAATTAAGTAATTATGCTCTTAATTACATGAGCATCCAAACAAGGATATATCAGATACTTCACAATCAGTCAGTAAAAAAAAGAACTGAAAATTTCATGCAATTTCTTGTATCTTACAAGATGTACTTGTAATCACATACATGTGCCGTTCTCTGGCTGTTCCGATCACAACATTTTTTGTGTGTCCACAGGGATAATAATCTACAGGGAAGAATATGTGTATTTATGAAAGTACTCGTAACTTTGTTAATACTAAAGCCGTAGGGTTGAATGGGATATCAAATGAAAGGTCTTGCTATGCTTTATCCAATGGGATTATTTTCTGGGCTCATTTTTAAATACCTCAACATTTTGTAACATCCCTACTATAAGTCATAGCATGTGATTCTACCTCCATGGTCAGAGTAGCAAGGTCCAAAAGGCTTGCCCTTCAAAACTGCAGTTCAATAATGTGAGGTGCAACATATACGCCTACAGCGTACATGTACTTCAATTTTGCAAGAAAACTTTCAAGAGGAGCATTTTTTGCTGCTGTTTGTGCTTCTATTCTTGGAACAGGGCATACACCGTACACACTGGTACACCCAAGATGTCGTTGGATTAGTCGACTACCCTGTTCTTACCTCCCTGTCCAGAATTCTGCTCTCCAGTAACAATCAGCCCAACAAAGAATGAACTCCAAATTCTTGCAGAAAGGTTCTATTGTGGTTTACGACTCAGCAAGCTACCGGTAGTAAGGCATGAAAGGCAGGGCTCGTTGAGTCGTACGTCGTGGTGGTTGAGCCGTTGTCACGCACGGCCGACCTCCTTCAAGAAAACTTCGTGGGCGATCTACCTGATAATGCTGGCTGGTCGGCGTGTCCAACCAGGGAACTACACCTCCGAGAAATTCACTCTAGAAAACACCGTTTGGGGCCAAGAAAATCCAGAAATTACGACGTATGCGTGTACTATGCTAGCTTACAGTAGTGCATATAACCATGTTGCAGTTTTAACGTCGTAGAAAAGGGTGAATACACTGAGTTTTTTGCACGTTTGTCACGGCGACGACCAACTACCAATCTTGCGTTGATAATCCAATGACTTCCTAAATTGGTTTTCTACTGCTACACAAGGTCCATTCTATTTAAAGTGTAATTTTCCAAGGAAAAAAGAAACAAACACAAAATATGACTTTCGTTTTCAAACAAAATGGACAAGTCAATTTTAAGAGGACTTGGTTTAAAGCCTCTTTCCCAAATTTTCAATTTTTTCATCCGTGTGTATTTGATTTCGTGGGAAATAAATTTTAAGCCATAACATGAATTATTCATGAGGTAGTAAGTCTTCCACCGTCTATTTAATTCTTCAACTTTCACAACAAAATGCCACACTTTTGTCCAGTGGTTTATTGATGAAATGAGAGACAATTTAATTGGCATAAAAGGGCTTGCGTCCTTGCCAGGGTTTTGTGGGTTATTAATCATCTCCTAAAAACATGGCAGTCCGCGTGATTGGGTTGATTGAAGAATTATTTTGAGAGATGTTGCTTAGCTCATGGCTCAAAAACTGTAGCTTTAACCTGAAAGTTGGG